TTCACGGTCGGCAACGCGCGAAATAATTTTCACGTTTCGAGGCCTATACACGCGATAACGTTATTCCGCATGTAAACGTCCCAATGACCGCGATGTTCTACATGCGGAATTGGAATCGATCGATTATTATACATCGCGCTATTTCATTTATAGAGAAGATTTATAAAATTTCTTCCAGCTCTCATCTATACGATTTTTCTATTTGAAATCAGTGTTCCACTTGCAAGAAATTAAAATGTCACATCTCTCTCTTTATGTCTTTTTATTATTCCACTTGAAATATTTTCGCATATCTTTTAATATCTTATCACATTAAAATTTTAGTAAAATATATAAAATACATAAAATATATACTTTTGCTATCCAATTTCTGGGATCTAAAAAAATCAAAGTTTCGTAGAATTAAACTTGAACCATTTTCAAGGTTAGTGACTCAATTTATTACACACAGCACTCGCAAAAACAGAAGAGATTTTAATGTATCATTTTATATATTTTTTAAAAAATAACACAAAGTTATACAAAAATAGAAATTCCAAAAGAGAATAATTATTCTTATAATCATTTTGAGTCAATACAATTTTGGTCTCAAAACTGCGTACTAGTATCATATTGAAAAATATGAGATTAAAATTATGTAAAAAATCTATTTCAAGATAATTTACTATGTCTCCTATAATGTATGTGAGACGTACTCTTCCTAGAAAAGTTTTATTCTCTTCTTTTCTAACACGTTATGTCATAGCTATAGTATTGTAAAGTATGTATATTGAATAATCTTTTTTACAATTTTAATCTCAAATTTCTCTTTTGCAACGTGATAGAAATTGGCAAATTTTATTTGGCGTAAAAAAGATTACGAGAAATAATTTTTCTTTATTCAAGGATTCGGAGAAAAATTATTTTTTAACAAACTGTGTAACAGAAATTTTCCTAAAACGAATAGCACGAGATATCTTTATACAAAGCGTATCGATTATCGATTTCGGATAACTGCGTCCCGCGACAACGTTAATTTTCCCGACGTGACGCGCATATCTAGCGGTCATTAAGTGCGCCTCGTCGCAGGCCGTAAAACGCGACGAAAAATCGAATCGTTGCCGCTAGAATAATTGCTAGGCGTTAATTACTACGAGGTATGACGATATTTTCTGCATAAAAATATTGAACCGGTCATAATTATCCTATAAGAGATATCGGTATACGTATATATATATTCTTACACATATACATATATCGAGTAACGCGAGCGTTTTCCCGTCATCTGTTCTGGACCCATGGGAATTGCGCCCTGCATGTACGTAAATTATGTTCAGAGCAAAACGAAGAGGGCGAGATGGAAAAAGCAGTCTCGCGCTTGGGAAAAACACGTTAGCACAAGAAAAGCCGTAAAAACTTACGGATGAGTACGAGAGCGAGCGACTCGCGATACTGACTCTTAATAGCTGTTGCCTGCATCTTTTCGAGACGAACGTTAATTTTGCTCTAATCATTCACATTCCTGTTAATACATTTTTTCGCATGCAAATACTGCAAGTATGTTGCAGCATTTCTCTTATCAAGTACATATCTATCTCTGTGAAAATTATGCTCCAGTTGTACAGGATGTTTTGAGATATGTATCAGAATAAAATCTTACCACACATCCTTCATCTTAAGATTATTTAATTAATCTTTTAGAGTATATTCTGTTACAAAATTAACAAAAGACTAAGAGAAATTTTCGAATTATAAATAAATAAAAGTGTGCAACCTTTTGTAAATTTAATCGTTATTAAGAATAAACAATTTTCATTTTAATCAAATTTTAATCTTTTAATGTTAAAAAGACAAACTTGATATAGAAAGACAATTTTTGATATTTACTGAAAAAATGTTGATTATATATTTGTCATAAATTTTACGAATAAAGTTTATAAAATTATACTCTACCGATTACACTTTCTGTGTAGACATTTTCTTGAACATCCTCTACATGCACATTCGACATTAATCTCGTGAAATTGCTCTCTCTCTTTCTCTCTCCCTCGAATGCGGAATGAAGTCGCTCGCAATAACAGAGATACGCGACAGCAGCAAGAAAAACTCGAAAGGCGAAGGTACGCTGCATAATGCGGGGAAAAGGAAGAAACAAGCCAATATCCAGCCGTATCGGGACTGCAGATGGGATTGCGACTACAGCTGCATGTGAACCGGGAGAAAGGCAGGTTCTGTTTGCCTGCAAATTGGCCCCCGTAGTCGTCGTGGCTGATCTATTTTCCCTGAGCTCGTCCACGAAAACAATAGATCTGCTCTTGTTAATGTCAGCGGGAAACTAATGAAACTCGAGCTCAACGAGCACGAGGTCGGAGAGCACTGCAGAATAATTTTGTTCAGCAATGTCGAGAAGTTATGCAATATGGAAACGATTGTATATTTTTGAGAATTTTAATTCTGAATTGCAAAGTGAAAATACATAGATTATTATAAAAATATGTGATTTTTGGGAAATAATATATAAATCTAATATATTGTATTTAAATTAGATTGTGATTAATTTTGGTATGACATCAGTGAACAATTTTTGTAAATTTTGAAAAGTATGTCCTTTTTAGTAAATATTTAATATATTCTGTTATAGAATTTAAATCAAATTTGTGATTAATTTCTGTATAAAATCATCAGCGTAGAAAATATTTTATTCGTAAATTTTTCGTAAAAGATAAGAAAGTCAAAACACATTCTGATATTCACGTGATGGTTCCGTTTATTATGTGTTCTATTTATTTAGGATACGAGATAGAGAGGCATAGTTCTTTATAACGTCTGTTGGCTTGGGTACATTGAAAATTATTCAGGTCTCATAAAGTCACCATATTTCTCTCGTTTCTCAGAGACACAACTTTTTTTCTGAAAATTTGTTTCTCTTTCGTTTTTCCTTCAAAAGCCTGGCTGCATATGTTCGATGCATTTTAAATAAGAATACGCAAATAAAAAGAACAGAGCTCCGTTGAAAGCAATGCAGTGCGTTTGAACTTCTCTTCACGACGCGAAAACGGAAGTTGATCGCGCTCTTTCATCGGTCAAATTTCGACGAGTCACGTACATACGTTTCCCTTTTCCCCTCCACTATTGAACTCACGATTTAATAAAAGAATGACTAATGTTTAATTCAATATTCCACACGGCACGCCGAATCGCAAATGAATCGCATATGCGCACGTTGCATTAATAGAAATAACATATTGAAGGCACCTGATCGGCAAACCATAACTCGTTGCTCGCTTATATGCTAATTGTTGACCAATTTCCTAATTTCAATTTGCTTTTAAAAAAAAACTTTTCTTCAAAAAAGTTAGAAATAGCGTAGTAAAAGAGTGATATTCTAAAAGGCAACAGCTTTTAGTAAATAATTAATAATGGGCGTAAATTTTCATGTCAAATTTTCAGCTAAAAGAGCGAAAATATCTAAAAATAATCAGTGTTTTGATAATTTTTTTCTAATAATAAAATCATGATTTAAAATTTGTGACTTTCTGTAAAAGTAGACGATATATTAATATATCGTGTCTCGAAGAGAAGATCGATTCATTCGAAACAAGTTTCAGCTGATTTTTTAAATTTATCCATTTCTTGCGGGAAAAGCATGCGATATATAAAGGGCGTGACACTCTGTAATGCGAGAGATAATCACGGCTATATCACGCCATACGCGGCCATCAATACACGCGATATTTTATGGTGGTCGTTAAGGAGTTTTAAACGTGAGGATATGACGCTACATTTCGCTCGTACACTTTTAGCCGCGCACGTTTGAAGTAACATATTTACTTCTCCTCGGGGAGGAGGGAGGCTCAAGCTCGATAATCCAACGGGGGATTATACCGTGGTCCGGAATGCATTCCTCTTTAACGCCACTCGCATATTCAACGAACGACACCTCGATGACGTAGCCGGTCGACGACGTCAAAGTCCAACGACCCGGGCGACGTCGGGCAGGAGAATTATCGCGATTCTACTTACGTAGAAGATGACGCGCCGATAAAATTAATGTTCATCCTGCCGGAAGATGGGACTTTATACCGATAAGCTCCTAAAACTACGGAGTTGACGGTCGATGTTTTTAGTAAATCAAACTTCCTAGAAAAAGAATCTTATTCCTCAAGTCTTTACGGTACATAGACATTGATAGAATTTTAATTTGAGGCTACTCGAGAGGATGGACCTTGACTCGGTGAAGAATAGAGTTACCGGTAGCGCGAAAAGGACTTCCACCTGTATGTGTTCGTTACGTGGGATGTGTGTTAATAAGAATCTACAACGGTTCAGCGCAGCCCACGCGCGAATGAATACGCACACATGATAATAGCGAACCGTTTAAACTGTCGATCATGTAGACGAGTGAGAAGGAATTATTTCGCGCTCTAGCAAGGAGAGAACAACTACGTTGCATGGAACATAAACAGGAAGACATACCGAAACATGTTTGAAAAATGAAAGAGATATTAGTTAAGAAATGAAATAAATATCCTAATATTATTTTTTCCAAGATAAAATCAAATTTTTCTTTAACATTGCAATTTATCGTTTCATTTATACGAATCTTGGTTGAAAAATTTAGGACACATTTGTGAAATGATATATAAATTTTGATTAATAGTACAATAAGAGTATTTTAATTAATTTATAATAACGATTTCTTTTGTCCTTGAGACACTTGCGTTGCGACATTTACTGACCACGGCGTGTCAATTGCGCTCTCTCTTTCTCTGGCTAACACATTAGTTATCTCGAAATGAGATCCACGTAAAGACATTACGGCATCACGTTACACGCGAGATGTACACCTGCATTACAAACAATCGTACTCGCCGTGCGAGTCGTCTCCACGTGTCAAAGACGAGCCGCCCACGCTTCGGCGCTCGCTCTTGTTTATATCACGAGGGGGAACGACCCGCGCTAAAGTCCAAGGGTGGACACGCTCTTGCGGAGTGATTCGCCATGAAGCGATTCAGACTCACCAGGCAATTAATCATCGTGCACAGGACGAGGATCGTCCCACGACTTCCGCGCATTATTTCCGCTTTGCTGGCCACGCGGCCTCCTCCGTCAAGTCGATTTCCTGCTTCACCTGCGTCCGTATATATTGACTATATATATATATATATATGTATATATATATATATATCACTGCGCCCGCCGATGTAACAAGCGCGATCGTTAGCGTAGCGCGTCGGGGGTTGCGTGACGACGGCACGAAGAGGATATAAACGAGCAACTGCGAACGCCTCCTCCGCGGTGCGTCTACGCGTACGTGAGGATGACTGAAACAAGACTGGAACGGACCCCCGGCGGCCTGGCTTTCGGCGCGGGAGCTGGAACGGAGCAAAAGCAACTCGTGGGGCCCGTGTGCTCCCACCTCCTCTTCGCCACGGTCTTGGACTCCCCGTCGTGTTTTCTCTTCCTCTTCTTCTTCTTCTTTAATTTTCTTTCTTCAATCGAGCGAGGAAGCGTTTGCCGGTAATCCTTTAGAGTTGCGTGGCAATAGATACTTTGTTCAGAGACATATTTTTCACAAATAATCCGTATAATGGTTCCTAGATGAACGTTCTTCTTATGATTTAGTTTAATTAGTTTTTCACAATTTTATTAAGCTCTCTCTCTCTCTCTCTCTCTCTCTCTCTTTCTCTTTCTGTCTTTTATTTCTTCTTTAAAGTTTCTTCAACCTAGCTGTCAACAACAGGATAACATTTATCAGTCTCTTTAATGATAAAAATTGTAATAGAAAATGGAAAAGATATTTTTTAAATGCTTGCTCAACAAATACAGAGGCATCTGCTTATAATTAAAATTCATTATACGATTTTTTTTATTAAAGAATATCATAATAATGGCTTTAATTAAATAATCTATATAAATAAATAAATATTTTATTTATAATTTAATGTAAATTTCTGGCAATATAGTTTATCGCGTTAAAATTTTTCTTTTTTCCGTACTCTTTCTTCTTTAATTCTTCTTGCAATCTATTTTTTGCATTGTAACAAACAGACTAACACTATCTTCTATATCTTCTTTTTAATTATATAGGTATTTCTTCTTGCATTATGTTTTTTCACGATGACAAACAGACCAAAACTATCTCTTTTTTTACTTAGATAGGTAAACACATATCGTGGATTTTGTACTAAATATAGCCGACGTTGCGCTTGGAAAGTCGGTGAGATCTAAATCGTTCTAATGATAATCGCTGCTCGCGCGCGCGCGCGCGCGAGAGCACAAGGAAGAGCGATGGAAAAAGACCGGTGGTCTCCGGTTGAGGCGCGATTTTTTACGACGTGTCGCAAGGAGACGGTGATTGAAAAGGCGTGGAAAGGAGAGAGGGAACGTCGCCTTAGCGAACAGGAAGCGACGCCGACTATGTGCACTACGTCGGAATGTAAATGGAGAATCGACGAATGTGCCGCAAGAAATAAAGGGACAAAATGGCCGAGCGGATAAGAGTTGCGCTTGCAAAATTGATCGATAAATCGTTCGGGAAAGAG